TTAACAACTTGTTATCTCCTGATCTTATTTGTCAGCATGAGTTTTAACAACTTGTTATGTTCTGATCTTATTTGTAAGTATGAGTTTTAACAACTTGTTATCTCCTGATCTTATTTGTCAGTATGAGTTTTAACAACTTGTTATGTTCTAATCTTATTTGTCGGTATGAGTTTATTTGTCAGTATGAATTTTAACAACTTGTCATGTTCTGATCTTATTTGTCAGTATGAGTTTATTTGTCAGTAGGAGTTTAAACAACTTGTTATCTCCTGAGCTTATTTGTCAGTATGAGTTTATTTGTCAGTATGAATTTTAACAACTTGTTATTTTCTGATCTTATTTGTCAGTATGAGTTTTAACAACTTGTTATGACCTGATCTTATTTGTCAGTATGAGTTTATTTGTCAGTAGGAGTTTAAACAACTTGTTATCTCCTGAGCTTATTTGTCAGTATGAGTTTATTTGTCAGTATGAGTTTTAACAACTTGTTATGTCCTGATCTTATTTGTCAGTACGAGTTTATTTGTCAGTATGAGTTTTAACAACTTGTTATGACCTGATCTTATTTGTCAGTATGAGTTTATTTGTCAGTAGGAGTTTAAACAACTTGTTATCTCCTGATCTTATTTGTCAGCATGAGTTTTAACAACTTGTTATGTTCTGATCTTATTTGTCAGTAGGAGTTTAAACAACTTGTTATCTCCTGAGCTTATTTGTCAGTATGAGTTTATTTGTCAGTATGATTTTTAACAACTTGTTATGTTCTGATCTTATTTGTAAGTATGAGTTTTAACAACTTGTTATCTCCTGATCTTATTTGTCAGTATGAGTTTTAACAACTTGTTATCTCCTGATCTTATTTGTCAGTATGAGTTTTAACAACTTGTTATGTCCTGATCTTATTTGTCAGTATGAGTTTTAACAACTTGTTATGTTCTAATCTTATTTGTCAGTATGAGTTTATTTTTCAGTATGAATTTTAACAACTTGTTATGTTCTGATCTTATTTGTCAGTATGAGTTTTAACAACTTGTTATCTCCTGATCTTATTTGTCAGTATGGGTTTTAATGTGTTCCGCTGTAAGTGATATTTGTTTAATGGTGATGGCCGGTTATGGTGGTACTGTAAAGGATTCTATGTAAGTGTATTATATATTGTGTTAAAAATCTGAAGCTTTTTATTTCTGTGAGGTCTATAGTGTTCACCAATGTTTGAACCCTGGTCTACTAGCTGGTAAGCATGGGATCAACTCCTCGGGTCACTGGAAAAGCGTATCTGAATAATTTTATCGATATAGTGTATCATTGTTGTTAATTAGGGAAGCTACTGGTGAAATGTGAAAGTATCAATTGTGTGTTGGTATGTAAATATATGAATACCGCAATAGCAGTGAGAATGATAATACAAGGAAGCCTCACAGCTCTGTGCGAAAAATTATGTACATGTGTGCATTTACCGAACATTGATAATAGCACTTGATATTTTCTTCTATAATATACCTCAATACCTCAATTTAAACAATCCTTTGAGGATAATAATATCTTGTGTGTTGTTTTTTTTAATTTTGAGTGCTTAACCCTTTCACCTCTACGTAACTTAAGTAGACTCTTCCATGCATTGATATAGATGAGTCCATTATGGTCTACAGTGGTGAAAGGGTTTAGTATACAAGAAATGTAGTAGTGGTTTTTGTTGTAGTTTTTTTTATTTTCAACTTGAATATCTTCCTGGTGAGGTTCTTATAAGGTATAAATTATTTTAAGTTCATTTAAAGCTTTATTAGATTTCCATTAAAAAAGAACTCTGGGCTATTTTTAAACTTGTTATTAAGAAATTTAGGTATGACACTTATATAGCTTTATATATCTTATAAGTATTCCAAGTTAACTGTAAAGTGGGGTCAATGGTGTAAACGAAGTCTCGGATGCTTAATCCTGGAACATTGGAAGAGGTTCATCATTGTGGGCAATGGGTGGTGGTGGGGAGGGGGGATTACTGGGTGTAGGGGGGATTACTGGGTGTAGGGGGGATTACTGGGTGTAGGGGGGATTACTGGGTGTAGGGGGGATTACTGGGTGGGCATATTGCAGGACAATGACATCACATTTGTTGGCATTTCTTTTGAACTGCAATAAGATTAAGCTTACTACCAGCCATGGGCCTATTTCTGGATACTTCAGTACTGCATGGAGCTAATCTATACATGTTGTATTTAATGTGGATACTTCAGTAACAAGTTTCTGGAATATTTATCTAATTTCTGAATACAACATGATCAACAAGCATTCCAGTCAATTAAGTTACTATATTGAAAAAAAAATCATTTTGTTATTATTAAATACTATTTTAATTAATGAATGAATTATATCTCATTAAAGGTATCAGAGTACAGCTTGACCAAAATTGTACACCTAAAGTTTGAATCGAATGAAGGTTAAAATCTAATAATGGTTATCAGGTAGATTTTATCAATCAAATCATATCTAGACATGGGTTCAATTCTTCAGGCAACCTGCAATGCCTTGTCAAGTTAACTGGGTACTTACGTTTTACCATCATGCCATATTATGTAAACATTCAGGTTATATCTATCATGTTAAAACTGAAAAGAAAAGTGTGAAAAATCTAAGCTGATATGTGTTGCTATCCTTTTTGATTGAAGCTGACTAAACATGAACAGGTTTACTGACATCCAAAACTCAAAGACAATGCTTTGTCTGTTGCCCAACCTTAATTAATTATTAACTTGATAAGCCTATTAATACCAAGTTTTGTATATTTAGATTTACATGTCATTGAGTAATTCACAATAGGGGGCTCATTCTGTTCAAATTTCGTCCAACATTTTAGACAGTGTCGAGTTACCATATTTATAACTTGTGAGGCATAAGTAGAATGTGCGTCTCTCTATATGTCATGTGATATTAATGTCAGAGACAAAATGTGATATCAAGTGAAATTGTGACCTTAAAAGATTTTTTTTCTCTAAAGATAAATAACTTTTAAATATTTAAAGTTAAAATAAACATGTACATAATGATATGATTAAATGAAACTTTGTCAGAAGTCCTCGACCCTCATGTTCTAAAATAACACATCTAGATCAGTTAGGACATTCTCTTTATTATACTTTTTACATTGTGAAAATCTGCCATCAGGACCAAATACATAAAGTCACCAGTTTATATTTGTAACATGTACTGACTAGTGTATATACTATAAAATACAATCCGAGGCCACAGTTGATAGCACAGTTGCCTTTCCACAAGATATATAGCCAGGGTTTGATTCCCCAACTGGGTGTTGAAAGTATTGGGTCACCTTATGTGGGTTTTCTCCAGGTGCTCTGGTTTCTTCCTACATTAAGAGCCAATCTGAGCCAGCAAGAGTGATTGATACAAGTTGATAGAACTTGAATTACATGTTCATTCAATTATAAATTATTTACCAAAATTAAGAAACATGTAACTTTGATTTTTTTTTTTTTTTTTTCACTGCATGATGTCTCCTTAAAAATACAGATTGTGAATGTCTGATTTAGTCTTTAAAAGTACATGACAGTTTTATCCTGAGTGATCACAATGTACTTTATACTGAAGTATCACAATTTAAATAGTACAGTGTTACAGTTTGTATTTCTAGATCTGTGTCAGAGATAACAGTATTGCAAGGCATTCAACTGGGCACTTTTGTGTTGATCTATTCACCTGATTACATGTAACTGCCAAGTCTACACATGTAGTTGGACTTCGGTCCAGTCATTCTGACTTTATTAGGCAAAACAAAGAAATTGAAATATCTTTCCATTTGGAAAATGTTGTAAATATTTAGAAATTATTTTGATTTTTTTTTTTAAATCTCTATGTACAACATATCACAGTCTAAAGACTGAAGAAATTAGCAAACTTTTATCTCTTTTTTTTTCAGTATGAAATATTTAAAAAAGAAATTAATATTGAAGGTGATGAATGTAATGTTTGCATGTACATCATAGATAATTAAAAATCAGAAGACAGGGAATGAAGGCTAAATTTCAAAGATATGCCATATCTTGGGGGGAGTGGGGAAGAAATGAAAATTTATTACATAAGCTAACAAGGCTTGGAATTGTAGGTTTAACTTGTTCCAGAATAACTTTCCATGTATAGCAAGCCCAGCTTTATAAAATGTCCATGCAAATTTGGAAAAATTTGAATTTTTATAAACCATAAATAGGACCTTAGTTATCAATAAAATAAAATTGACACTAACAAAATGATCCATCTCAGAATCACTGACTTAATTAGCAGGCCAATGATAAAATGAAAGCTGGGGGTGGGCGATTATTGGAACTAATGATACTTCCAAACGTCATAAAGTTAGGGGGGTGGGCGATTATTTGAACTAATGATACTTTCACACGTCATAAAGTTAGGGGGGTGGGCAATTATTGTGGAGATTTTTTTTTTGTAAAATCAAGACCTACATGGCCCAAAACACACAGTACAAGGAATCACAAATTGGTTTTCACCCCAACTGTAATTGGGCTTGGTGATAGTCCAGCTCTGGATGTAACTCCAATCAAAGACATCTGGTCTGGAAACTGGAAGAAACAGACCTGAAACCCCAGCATATGTGGTTTTAGCAGGCATTTAATTCAGGACTCTTTCGTCAGGTTTTTAGATCAGATGTCAACATCTTTTAGTTAGGAGATCGACATAAATAACTGACAAGTTGGTGTCACATACGAGCAAAAACACGATATAAAGCGGAGTTTCCGACTTACTAGATAATTATCTTTAATTTATTATCTCGGCAAGTAAATTAGCAAGTCAACATATTCTTCAGTTTATGCCGACCTCTTCATCTGTGTTGTTGACATCATTAAGTCCTAAGTTGGCAACTCGATGGCAGAAATATGCCACCATACATCAGCTTTTTATTCAAACCAATAGAGTATGATGCTGTACAAACATTAATGTTTGTATTACATGGTGATCTCGTAATCTTTGTTTCATAGATGATGCTGTTGAAGGAAAGAGACAACGGATTAGATGCCTGCCAGTTAATTCAGCCTCCTCCGAGTTCTTACGAAGCTGAAGTCACACATCTACGAAAATTGGGCAGTCCTCCAGGAATGACAGGAGTTGGTCACGACCCCTTATCTACAGACAGGTAAGTCGTTAAGCTATTTATAGGGGCCATGACCCCATATCTATATACAAGTAAGTCATTAAGCTATTTAAAGAAGGCATAACTCCTTAGCTAAAAAGAGTCATAACCTCTTGCATCTACCGATAGGTAAGTCATTAGGTTTTTACAGAGGTCATGACCCCTTATTTTAAAACAGGTAAGTCATTAGGCTTTTACAGAGGTCATGACCCCTTATCTAGATACAGATAAGTCACTAGGCTGTATAGAGACTAAGAGAGGTCATGGCCCCATCTCTACTTGTATTCTGGCATATAATTAATTTGACTACATTTTGACTGCATACTGACAGTATACTGACAATAGCTGGTAGTGGTAGTGCATTGGGCTGGTTGTTTAGGACAACTTAACGTAAGAGTAAACATGAATTTCCATTATTAGCAGCCTTTTGTTTACATAAGAAGATCACTTTTTGTGAGATCATGACCTCTTGCTCTTAGTTGTGATTTTATGAGCACTGGATTATTTGTTTAGTAAAAAAACTCCTCTTGCCCATTCGGTGAGAGTTGATGACCTCTTGCTCAATACTATAATAATAATATTTTTTTAATTTTATTCAAGTGTCACATATTGATCTACATATAAAACAGATAAAATGTACATAAAATTTGATCAATATCCAGCCAAAGTTAATCCACTTATGAGACACTAAAAAGACAGAAAATATACATTAAAAAACAGTTTTTAATTTTAAAAAGCTCAATAATTGTAAGGTCATGACCTCTTAAGCTTGTTTTTTCAGTTATCAGGTCACAACTCCCTTTTCTTTATTGAATCAATAGCAATATATTATAAACTTTGAAAGTCTCTCGAGGGAAACATACTTTTATCAGTGTTAGTAAATGTCTAGAATTACCCACGTAATACAAATTTATTTGCATGTATATCAAGTGTGTTTCAATATATATAACTGTAGGTGTTCAAATTAAGCCCGATCAGTTGTGGGCAACATGTACTTTTAAACAATGATTTTTGAGAAATATCCAAATTTGTTAATACTATTGCAATTGTTTCTTCCCTTGAACGATCATCTTCAATTTCTCTTCATGTACATTTTAGTTTTGAATTTTAATGTTAAAGTTGCATTAACTTGTTGTGATCAGCTGTGACCAGTCCATCCCTATACATGTGGCTGGTGTCATTAACTTGTTGTGATCAGCTGTGACCAGTCCATCCCTATACATGTGGCTGGTGTCATTAACTTGTTGTGATCAGCTGTGACCAGTCCATCCCTATACATGTGGCTGGTGTCATTAACTTGTTGTGATCAGCTGTGACCAGTCCATCCCTATACATGTGGCTGGTGTCATTAACTTGTTGTGATCAGCTGTGACCAGTCCATCCCTATACATGTGGCTGGTGTCATTAACTTGTTGTGATCAGCTGTGACCAGTCCATCCCTATACATGTGGCTGGTGTCATTAACTTGTTGTGATCAGCTGTGACCAGTCCATCCCTATACATGTGGCTGGTGTCATTAACTTGTTGTGATCAGCTGTGACCAGTCCATCCCTATACATGTGGCTGGTGTCATTAACTTGTTGTGATCAGCTGTGACCAGTCCATCCCTATACATGTGGCTGGTGTCATTAACTTGTTGTGATCAGCTGTGACCAGTCCATCCCTATACATGTGGCTGGTGTCATTAACTTGTTGTGATCAGCTGTGACCAGTCCATCCCTATACATGTGGCTGGTGTCATTAACTTGTTGTGATCAGCTGTGACCAGTCCATCCCTATACATGTGGCTGGTGTCATTAACTTGTTGTGATCAGCTGTGACCAGTCCATCCCTATACATGTGGCTGGTGTCATTAACTTGTTGTGATCAGCTGTGACCAGTCCATCCCTATACATGTGGCTGGTGTCATTAACTTGTTGTGATCAGCTGTGACCAGTCCATCCCTATACATGTGGCTGGTGTCATTAACTTGTTGTGATCAGCTGTGACCAGTCCATCCCTATACATGTGGCTGGTGTCATTAACTTGTTGTGATCAGCTGTGACCAGTCCATCCCTATACATGTGGCTGGTGTCATTAACTTGTTGTGATCAGCTGTGACCAGTCCATCCCTATACATGTGGCTGGTGTCATTAACTTGTTGTGATCAGCTGTGACCAGTCCATCCCTATACATGTGGCTGGTGTCATTAACTTGTTGTGATCAGCTGTGACCAGTCCATCCCTATACATGTGGCTGGTGTCATTAACTTGTTGTGATCAGCTGTGACCAGTCCATCCCTATACATGTGGCTGGTGTCATTAACTTGTTGTGATCAGCTGTGACCAGTCCATCCCTATACATGTGGCTGGTGTCATTAACTTGTTGTGATCAGCTGTGACCAGTCCATCCCTATACATGTGGCTGGTGTCATTAACTTGTTGTGATCAGCTGTGACCAGTCCATCCCTATACATGTGGCTGGTGTCATTAACTTGTTGTGATCAGCTGTGACCAGTCCATCCCTATACATGTGGCTGGTGTCATTAACTTGTTGTGATCAGCTGTGACCAGTCCATCCCTATACATGTGGCTGGTGTCATTAACTTGTTGTGATCAGCTGTGACCAGTCCATCCCTATACATGTGGCTGGTGTCATTAACTTGTTGTGATCAGCTGTGACCAGTCCATCCCTATACATGTGGCTGGTGTCATTAACTTGTTGTGATCAGCTGTGACCAGTCCATCCCTATACATGTGGCTGGTGTCATTAACTTGTTGTGATCAGCTGTGACCAGTCCATCCCTATACATGTGGCTGGTGTCATTAACTTGTTGTGATCAGCTGTGACCAGTCCATCCCTATACATGTGGCTGGTGTCATTAACTTGTTGTGATCAGCTGTGACCAGTCCATCCCTATACATGTGGCTGGTGTCATTAACTTGTTGTGATCAGCTGTGACCAGTCCATCCCTATACATGTGGCTGGTGTCATTAACTTGTTGTGATCAGCTGTGACCAGTCCATCCCTATACATGTGGCTGGTGTCATTAACTTGTTGTGATCAGCTGTGACCAGTCCATCCCTATACATGTGGCTGGTGTCATTAACTTGTTGTGATCAGCTGTGACCAGTCCATCCCTATACATGTGGCTGGTGTCATTAACTTGTTGTGATCAGCTGTGACCAGTCCATCCCTATACATGTGGCTGGTGTCATTAACTTGTTGTGATCAGCTGTGACCAGTCCATCCCTATACATGTGGCTGGTGTCATTAACTTGTTGTGATCAGCTGTGACCAGTCCATCCCTATACATGTGGCTGGTGTCATTAACTTGTTGTGATCAGCTGTGACCAGTCCATCCCTATACATGTGGCTGGTGTCATTAACTTGTTGTGATCAGCTGTGACCAGTCCATCCCTATACATGTGGCTGGTGTCATTAACTTGTTGTGATCAGCTGTGACCAGTCCATCCCTATACATGTGGCTGGTGTCATTAACTTGTTGTGATCAGCTGTGACCAGTCCATCCCTATACATGTGGCTGGTGTCATTAACTTGTTGTGATCAGCTGTGACCAGTCCATCCCTATACATGTGGCTGGTGTCATTAACTTGTTGTGATCAGCTGTGACCAGTCCATCCCTATACATGTGGCTGGTGTCATTAACTTGTTGTGATCAGCTGTGACCAGTCCATCCCTATACATGTGGCTGGTGTCATTAACTTGTTGTGATCAGCTGTGACCAGTCCATCCCTATACATGTGGCTGGTGTCATTAACTTGTTGTGATCAGCTGTGACCAGTCCATCCCTATACATGTGGCTGGTGTCATTAACTTGTTGTGATCAGCTGTGACCAGTCCATCCCTATACATGTGGCTGGTGTCATTAACTTGTTGTGATCAGCTGTGACCAGTCCATCCCTATACATGTGGCTGGTGTCATTAACTTGTTGTGATCAGCTGTGACCAGTCCATCCCTATACATGTGGCTGGTGTCATTAACTTGTTGTGATCAGCTGTGACCAGTCCATCCCTATACATGTGGCTGGTGTCATTAACTTGTTGTGATCAGCTGTGACCAGTCCATCCCTATACATGTGGCTGGTGTCATTAACTTGTTGTGATCAGCTGTGACCAGTCCATCCCTATACATGTGGCTGGTGTCATTAACTTGTTGTGATCAGCTGTGACCAGTCCATCCCTATACATGTGGCTGGTGTCATTAACTTGTTGTGATCAGCTGTGACCAGTCCATCCCTATACATGTGGCTGGTGTCATTAACTTGTTGTGATCAGCTGTGACCAGTCCATCCCTATACATGTGGCTGGTGTCATTAACTTGTTGTGATCAGCTGTGACCAGTCCATCCCTATACATGTGGCTGGTGTCATTAACTTGTTGTGATCAGCTGTGACCAGTCCATCCCTATACATGTGGCTGGTGTCATTAACTTGTTGTGATCAGCTGTGACCAGTCCATCCCTATACATGTGGCTGGTGTCATTAACTTGTTGTGATCAGCTGTGACCAGTCCATCCCTATACATGTGGCTGGTGTCATTAACTTGTTGTGATCAGCTGTGACCAGTCCATCCCTATACATGTGGCTGGTGTCATTAACTTGTTGTGATCAGCTGTGACCAGTCCATCCCTATACATGTGGCTGGTGTCATTAACTTGTTGTGATCAGCTGTGACCAGTCCATCCCTATACATGTGGCTGGTGTCATTAACTTGTTGTGATCAGCTGTGACCAGTCCATCCCTATACATGTGGCTGGTGTCATTAACTTGTTGTGATCAGCTGTGACCAGTCCATCCCTATACATGTGGCTGGTGTCATTAACTTGTTGTGATCAGCTGTGACCAGTCCATCCCTATACATGTGGCTGGTGTCATTAACTTGTTGTGATCAGCTGTGACCAGTCCATCCCTATACATGTGGCTGGTGTCATTAACTTGTTGTGATCAGCTGTGACCAGTCCATCCCTATACATGTGGCTGGTGTCATTAACTTGTTGTGATCAGCTGTGACCAGTCCATCCCTATACATGTGGCTGGTGTCATTAACTTGTTGTGATCAGCTGTGACCAGTCCATCCCTATACATGTGGCTGGTGTCATTAACTTGTTGTGATCAGCTGTGACCAGTCCATCCCTATACATGTGGCTGGTGTCATTAACTTGTTGTGATCAGCTGTGACCAGTCCATCCCTATACATGTGGCTGGTGTCATTAACTTGTTGTGATCAGCTGTGACCAGTCCATCCCTATACATGTGGCTGGTGTCATTAACTTGTTGTGATCAGCTGTGACCAGTCCATCCCTATACATGTGGCTGGTGTCATTAACTTGTTGTGATCAGCTGTGACCAGTCCATCCCTATACATGTGGCTGGTGTCATTAACTTGTTGTGATCAGCTGTGACCAGTCCATCCCTATACATGTGGCTGGTGTCATTAACTTGTTGTGATCAGCTGTGACCAGTCCATCCCTATACATGTGGCTGGTGTCATTAACTTGTTGTGATCAGCTGTGACCAGTCCATCCCTATACATGTGGCTGGTGTCATTAACTTGTTGTGATCAGCTGTGACCAGTCCATCCCTATACATGTGGCTGGTGTCATTAACTTGTTGTGATCAGCTGTGACCAGTCCATCCCTATACATGTGGCTGGTGTCATTAACTTGTTGTGATCAGCTGTGACCAGTCCATCCCTATACATGTGGCTGGTGTCATTAACTTGTTGTGATCAGCGGTGACCAGTCCATCCCTATACATGTGGCTGGTGTCATTAACTTGTTGTGATCAGCTGTGACCAGTCCATCCCTATACATGTGGCTGGTGTCATTAACTTGTTGTGATCAGCTGTGACCAGTCCATCCCTATACATGTGGCTGGTGTCATTAACTTGTTGTGATCAGCTGTGACCAGTCCATCCCTATACATGTGGCTGGTGTCATTAACTTGTTGTGATCAGCTGTGACCAGTCCATCCCTATACATGTGGCTGGTGTCATTAACTTGTTGTGATCAGCTGTGACCAGTCCATCCCTATACATGTGGCTGGTGTCATTAACTTGTTGTGATCAGCTGTGACCAGTCCATCCCTATACATGTGGCTGGTGTCATTAACTTGTTGTGATCAGCTGTGACCAGTCCATCCCTATACATGTGGCTGGTGTCATTAACTTGTTGTGATCAGCTGTGACCAGTCCATCCCTATACATGTGGCTGGTGTCATTAACTTGTTGTGATCAGCTGTGACCAGTCCATCCCTATACATGTGGCTGGTGTCATTAACTTGTTGTGATCAGCTGTGACCAGTCCATCCCTATACATGTGGCTGGTGTCATTAACTTGTTGTGATCAGCTGTGACCAGTCCATCCCTATACATGTGGCTGGTGTCATTAACTTGTTGTGATCAGCTGTGACCAGTCCATCCCTATACATGTGGCTGGTGTCATTAACTTGTTGTGATCAGCTGTGACCAGTCCATCCCTATACATGTGGCTGGTGTCATTAACTTGTTGTGATCAGCTGTGACCAGTCCATCCCTATACATGTAGCTGGTGTCATCAATATTAGATTCATTATACATTTCTTAATTGCATGAACATTTTATTTCATTTATATTTTTTGTATTGTTATCAATTTATTTGTAGGCAAAGAAGAGAAGATCTAAGACAACAACAAATTGTAGAATATTCGGCTAAACTACCGAAAAGATTCAATGTAAGTTTATTGAATGAAAAATGAAAATGACAAAACAAATGATTGTGAAATAAGCTTTTTTGCAGTGTTTTCTATCTTTAAAGGTCTTCCACACAAAATTTGTGATTTTGACATAATGCGACAGATATGTCCTCCACACTTCACAGGCGCATTCCCGATCTTTTCCCCTTTTGCTTGATAACAAGGACAAGATGTTTTATAGTTGATTGGTTGTTTTAGGCAATCAAAGACCGAGTAATTATATCCCCGCAACAAAGTTAGGATGAGCATACTGGAATCAGCATGTCTGTCCGTCTGTCTGTCTTATATAGGAGTAGGGGGTATAAGTTTGCCTTTGGCTTCTATTTCTAGTTTATAAACCTGCAATAGTAATGAACAGCCTTTACTGACTGGAATACTGTTTTGTAAGATTTTGTATAGTCAGGCCTAAAGGCAGAAAAACCCGTCTGTAAGGGCAAAATATCATGTCATAATGTCCTTAAATGTGTTGGTAAATGAAAGTTTGGCTTCACGATATATTATACAGGAAGTGAAGGGTCAGTAAAGTCAGGTTTCACTGGATGCTAGAAATGTGCTGCACCTTCTAAAGTCAGAGTTTACCCTATGCATTCTGTTGGAGTCATACAAAAGCTATATATAGCTAGTCATGTGATAAAATATCGGTTTGAGTAACATTTTTTTCTTTTTTCTTCCAGTCAATAGATTACAAAAGTCAGTGGTGAAAGCAGACCTAAAGCACACAGATAACGGACATGGTTGGGACAACCTTCTGATGGTGGCCCACACTTGTTGTTTTTATACAGCAAACGTCAAACAGAAAATTCAAAGGCCGTCGTTTTACAGTTTTTTTTGAATATTTTTTTTCTCACTTGAAATTTTTGTCAATTTTTCTAAGCAAACCACTATTAAAAATAATACGACACTTTAAACAAGATACACTGCTTGTTAAGTTTCTTTATATTGGGTTTTCTTTTTGGAAAAGGATTTTTTTTAGAAGTTATGAATCTATGAAAGAATTGTTTATATCCAGATATTATTTGATTTGAAATCAACTTCATATTTCCATTTCATGAATGAAATGTTTTTACAATGGGGAATGCAATCATGTGTGAAGATGCTTCATCGTTTCCATAGTTTTGTGCTCAACTGTATATCACGGTGATATTTATGGACATCTCATTTTAAATTGATTCACTTATCAAGAAAATTAACTTTGTTTTCCTATCTGAATACAGTATATTCACAAAACTGATACTTGAAAAAATCCGGAGCTTCACATCAGTATTCAGTAATTGATCAATTGAGATCACATTGATCAGTTATTTTTTCTCCAAATCGTCTGTGAATTTGAAAGAGATAACCTATTCAGAAGTCCATTGCTGAATTATATTGAGATTCTTATCGGTAAATTGTTATCTATAAAGGGAGATAACTTAAAATTCCACCAATGCATCAGAACAGATGATATTTTTTAAAGAAATTGTTTTTCTTGGTACAAACTGTGATTTCTAAAAAGATAATTTATAGAAGTATTTCCATGGATTTAAATGCTTTGTCATGCCAGCACCAAACCAAGCATGTAAAAGGATTGAAGTTATAAAAATATTTAATTTCTTTAGTGGTTAAATGTTATATACCAGTGCACAAGCGTGGTATTGTGATATATATATATATATTTATTCACTTTGTATTTTTCTTTCACTTGTTATATTTTTTTGTGTTTATTTATTATAATTACCCATCAGTATTATTTTATGCATGCCTTCCTTTTAAAACTCTGCTGATGTGATCAGACTTGTAAACCACGTTTGCCCAACCCCAAACATTTTCATCTTGCATTGCTGTTCAGTGGTTAATTGTCGTCATTAAATATTACTTTGGGGCTCAAAAGAATTCTATACTAATATTTAGATAGGTCTAAAAGTTTGATCCTATTTGACTTATTGCCATGCTAGCAGTATTATATAGTAGCATTGTTGTTTTCAAAATAATAAAGATATTTACATCATAATAAATATTTAAATGTTGTTGTTTTTTTAACTTTTTATACCTTATAACGGAGGTGAAGGCCTAATTATTTTAATGTTTGAAGTAAGAATAATGAAATTATTTCTGAGAAAACGTTATTTGATCTTTTGAAGTATGCATGTATTTGGTTTTTTTTGAAAATCTATTATCAAATGATGTTGTGTTTTTGTCAATGTGTGTCAATAAATTGGTTTATTGGTGAAATCTGTTTCTTTTTTATTTGTGCCATTCTAAAGAGAACAAGAGGCCCAGAGGGCCTGTATTGCTCACCTCAATATTTAAGCAGTCATAGCAAATTATTCTCATCAAATATTATACTGTACTACAAATAGTTCACTCGCAAACTTTGTTGGCTCCATCTGTTGAAACTACCAGCCAAATAATATTATATCATTCTATGCTTTTTGGTTCTTCTTCAGAAGTTGTTTTAAGTGTTTGACATATTTTTCCCTGTGACCTTGTAAGTATGTCAAGGTAATTTTCCTTCTCAAACTTTGTTGGCTCTATCCCAAGAAGCCAAATCTTATGAATCCATTCCTTTTGGTTCTTACGAACAAATAATTTGAAATGTTGTTGACCTCTGTGACCTTTAAAGTAGGTTGAGGTCATTTTCATTTGGAAACTTTGGAAACTATCCCAAGAAGCCACCAGCCAAATATTATGATTCTATGCCTTTCGATTATTCAGAAGTCCTTTGATGTTTTTTGACATATTTGACCTCTGTTACCCTGAAAATAGGTGAAGGTCATTTTTAATCCTAAACTTTGTCGTGCTCAATCTAAGAAGTAACCAGCCAAATATTAAGATTCTATACCTTTCAGTTTTTCAGAAGTCGCTTGAAGTGTTTGACATATTTGACCCCTGTGACCTTGAAAGTGGGTGAATGTCTTTTTTTCGTTCTCAAACCTTTTTGGGCTCTATCCCAGGAAGCCACCATCCAAATATAAAGATTCTATACCTTTCATTCTCAAACTTTGTGGGGCTCCTACCAACGAAGCTTTCAGCCAAATATCATGACTCAAGGCCTGTTCGTTCTTCATCAGAAGTTGTTTAAAGGAAAAGTTGACGGACGACGGACGGTCGGACAACGATGACATAAGCTCACTTGCACTTCGGACAGGTGGGGTAAAAACACAAAAAAAGTAATACTAATAATAATAAAAGGTTTATTAAGAAGACCAAAAATGTTATTTTGTCTTCTCTACCTACTGAAGTTTTTATGCTTACCAAAACTGGTAAAGTCTGAAAAGCCGTCTCTATGGAACCTTTGTAAAGGACCTGTTACAGGAACAAAAGAATTTTGCCCACAAAGCAATTTACCCACTACTGGGTTATATTTGTAGCTCCCTAAGACACGACCCATGAGATATTTTTTTAAAAATAAAAAGGTCCCCAGGGCCTGTGCTATGAACTATTTAGTGCCGCCTTCTAAAGGTGTACGACAGGGTTCACTTTTTTGTCCAAAAAACTATCAAAACAATGTTTTACCTACCAAATAATAAATACATTATTTAAAATAGGATCTGCTGCAAATTATGAACTCAAATATGTAACAAAACATTGCATAATAAAAAAGTTATAAAATCTTAAACTCTAGAAATGTTGATATTTTCATACACTTTTTTGCTACATCAATTGTTTTACGGAAGTAAAACACCGATTTCCGGTTCCTGTACACCAAAAATCTTTTCATATTATTTGGTGCATTATGTTGAGATACGATAGTGAAAATTTCAGAAAATTTGAGAACCGGTAAATTTGTCATATAAATGTCAAATTGTAGCAACGTCTATTTCCAAATAAAATCCAACAACCTTATGACCTATAGTCATGTTTGATAATTTAACAATACGTCGCACCAATTTATTATCGCAACTGATTAAATTTTCATCAATATGGTCTGCTGCTCATGATGAGCCCAACTATAAAGCTAGATGTTGCAAAATAAAAAAGTTATGCAGTCTCACAGACATAAAAGTTTAGTATGTTATGTACATTTTTAGTTGTTTCGCATCTTTACGGAAGTGATAGGCATATTTCCGGTTTTTGTACACCAACATACTTTGGATATTATTTGGCACATTATGCTGACTGACGATAGTAGAAATTTCGAAAAAATCGGTAGTCGGTAAATGTGTCATCTTAAGGATAATATGTTGGATGACCAATGTCAAAATAAATCTTCAATAACTACAGATCAATGCAATTATTTCATAATTAACCCAAAATCATTCCAATATACTATCAAGGTATCCAATATACTATCAAGGTGGATGATATGGTTTATAGTAGAGTATGACTGTTTAACTAAACTAGGTGGTTAAAGGGGGCATACAGCAAAAGTTATGCAATTTGTCAGAACATTTGGTGTACCAGTGATATTGACTTGGAGCGTGCTAGCCAATAAAATTGTTTCTTTTTAGGAGAGTTATAGTTTCCAATTCATGGATTATTGTATTTACTGTTGTTGTTTTTTTAATTTGGCAACACATAGTCAAAATTGGTCATTCAAAACATTTTCCTGAATTTCTGCTTTCTCAGTTCAATCTTAGGTCTTATTATTTTTTCATATCATTCCCGTCAAGTGATTGACCAGAAGTGCATCACGTGTCCACCGATAAAAACCGATATTGACTTGGAGCGCGTGATTTTTGTTGAAGGACTGGGTGTTTATAAAAATAGAATTATGACGTGTCTCCAAACAATGCACCATCCCACTTCCGAAGGTTTTTTTTTTTTTTTTTTTTAGATTGCTTACATTACTGTTTTGTAAAATAATAAAACAATTGAAGCCTTCAACTTCGGTCAATACCTGGATTTATCAACCTACAAATCCAGGTATCGACCTCACCCAAAGGCTATAATTGAATAATGTTTCTTTTTTGAATGCATTCACAATATGCAGTCTCTGAATTTGCGAGCTTTAGGCTGGAGTGTTTTAGTATCTGTTAAATGTGCATAGTATCCTAGATAATACAGTATTGATGCGACATGAGTCTTTCCTGCAGGACACACACATTAGTATGCCTTGACAGGATCCTCTGATGCGTGTAGGTCAAACTCTATCCAGACATTGTATTTTGCCTGCGACCTGTGGCGAGAATGTAATTGGCCTCGCAGAAGGTCATCAGCATGTTGGTACACCCATATCTCATAATCACCCCCATCTGTCTGATGTTCTGTGATATAGCCAGGTGCCAGCTTCAGCTGATATGTACCACAAGCCAAAGTCGCATTGACCTGT